TTACTGTATTAAAAGCGACACTGATTTTGCTTTAAGATAGATCAAAAAAGCCGAGCATGGTGGCTCACATCTGTAATCCCAGCACTCGGGAGGCTGAGGCAGGAGTATCATTGTGAGTTCAAGACCAGCCTGGGCTACAAAGTGAGCTGAAGGCCAGCTTGAACTGCGTAGAGAGACCCTGTCTCAAAAAGAAAATAAATAAATAAATAAATAAATAAATAAGATCAAAAATAAAAAAAGAGGGGCTGGGATTTAGGCTCAATGGCATAAGTGCCTGCCTGGCAAGCGCAAGGTTTTGAGTTTGATCCCTAGTACCAAAAAAGGGAAAAAACAAAAACCTGGGTGTGGTAGCACACTCCTATAAATCAGGAGGCTGAGGCAGAAGGATCATTGCAAGTTTGAGACTAGCCTGGGCTACAAAGTGAGCCCAAACCAGCCTAAACTGCATACTGAGACCCTGTCTTAAAAAAGACAAAAAACCAAAAAAGGATTAGAGCTAGAAACTATTGTGTGTTACTAGGAAGTAATTTTCCATTAACTATCACTTGACCCAGAAGTGTTAAATGTCTAGTATCATTGGAACGGATGAATTAAAGCTCTTATTGTCATTTCATTTCCATTGGTAGATTTTAGTCATATTTTCTGTTCTTGAAGACATTATTGTCTTTTCAACACTGTGGTGAAATTCTGTGAGGAAAAAAAAAAAGTAAAAGTTCTATAAAGAAGACATAAATAAATGTAGAGACAGGGCTGGGGATTTAGCTCAGCGACATAAGCACCTGCCTTGCAAGCAGGCGGTGGTGAGTTCAATCCGTGGTACGGATTAAAATAAATAAATAAAAATAAATGTAGAGACATACCATGTTATTGCATTGGAAAAACACAATCTTATCCCTGTGTTGATCTGTAGGTTTAAAATAGATCAAATCCTGAACAAAAAGAGCAATGCTGCAGGCATCACAATACTCAGTTTCAAACCTACTGCAGAAGCCAGGCATGGTGGTGCATTCCCGTGATCTCAGCCCTCGGGAGACTGAGGCAGGAGGATTGTCACAAGTTCGAGACCAAACCTGGGCTAGAGTTGAGCTGAAGGCCAGCCTGAACTGCATAGCCAGACCCTATCTCAAAACAAAACAAAAAAAACTACTACATTGAGATTCCATCTCATACCAGGGCTGTTACCAAGAATACAAAATATAATAGATGCAGATACCTGCATACCCATGTTTACTGAGGTGCTATTCACAGTAGCCAAGTTATGAAATCAGCCCACCTGGATAAAGAAAATGTGGTGTATATACACAGTAGAGTATTATTCAGCTGTGTAAAGAAGAATGAAATCATGCTGTTTGCAAGAAAATGGATAGAACTGGAGATAGTCACGTTAAGTGAAAGAAGCCAGACTCAGGAAGACGAGTATTGGGTGCTTTTTCCCATATGTGGAATCTAGAGGAAAAAAAGAGATGATACGAAAATAGAAGAGAAACTGTTAAAGAAAAGGAAGGGATTTAGGAGAAGGAAGGGTAAGGGAGAGGAGAAAATGATAAAAATGTTATATGCATAAATGAAACTGTTACATTAAGCCCATTATTCTGTATAACTAGTATGTACAAGTAAAAGTAAGCACAGTCCTGATCAGAATTGCAACAGATTTGTTTTGTAGCTATAGACAAACTGGTTCTAAAATTTATGCAAAAAAGATGAACGGAAATAGCCAAAACAATTTTGAAAAGTTGTTAGAGTTAGAAAATTACAGTTATGAGAATCCCTCTAAGCTAATTTTAAGACTTACTGTAAAGCTACAGTAAGAATGCTAACGTAATAAAGTGTGGTTGTGGTGGGGAAATAGACACATAGAGGAGTAGAACAGGATAGAATCTGGAAGTGGAACTCCACAATTTGCCCAGTTAATTTTTGACAAAGGTATAATGATCGTTCGGTGGAAGAAAGCTCATCTTTTCAACAGATGATGTTGGAACAATTTGAACAATTCATATGTAAGAAAAAATTGACCTAAATCTTCTGTCTTCTGCAGAGATTAATTTAGAATTGATCACAGGTTTAAATGTAAAATGTAAAGCTATATATACAACTCACACAAGAACACAGGTCGTTGTGACCTGGGTCTGGGCAGAGCTCTTAGACATAACTCCAAAATCATGAAAGGTGTAAGGAAAAAAGTGGGCAAAATAGATCTCATCAAAAACTAAAAAGTCTGCTGTGTGAAAGATGCTGTGGAGTGAGTGAACTCAGCCGCAGCCACCCTTGGTGTTTTGAGATGGTCTTGCTGTGGCCCAGGCTGGCCTCAGACTTGGGACCCCTCCCCCCTCCTGAGCGCCGGGATTACACATGTGTGCCCCCACGGCTGGCAAAGTGAGTGAAATGATAAGCTACAGTCTTGGGAATCTATTTACAAATCACCCAATAAAAACTCTTACCCAAGGCTGGGGATTTAGCTCAGCGGCATAAGGGCTTGCCTTGCAAGTGTGCTGTCATGAGTGCGATCCCTAGTACTGATTTAAAAAGAAATTAAAAAGAACTCTTATCCCAAATATGTAAAGAGCTCTCAGAACCCAAAAGTTAAAAAGACAACCCAATTAAAAAGGGGCATAAGATTTACACGTATGCTGAAGCAGTCTGCAGATGTCGAATAAGAACATGGAAAGGCGGTCACCATTGTTAAACGTTAGTGAAGTGCAAATTACAGCCATTGAGTTACTGTGTCCCCTTAGAATGTCTGAATTAAAAACCAACACTACGTGGTGGCAAGGATGAGAGCTGCTGTAGCTCTTGGGCATTGAAGGTGGTCCTGCCATTCTGGAAAAGTTTGGCAGTTTCTTAATAAACATACGTTTACCATGTGACTCAGCAATGTCACTTCTAAATATTTACCCTAGAGAAATGAAAAGTGCCATTCAGCCACCTGAATATTATAGCATCTCTCTTAATAATTACTAGAAACCCGAAACAGTCCAGTGTCCTTGTGTGGATGAATGAGTAGGCAGACCTCGACATCCACACACGGCAAAAGGGGAACTGCCCTGCAATAAAGAGGAACAAGCTATTGATGTTTGCAAGCAACTCAAGGGCAGATGCTGAGTCAGAGAATCCAACCCAGCCTCTAAAGGTCGGTCCTGCCCAGTTTCATTTGTATGCCCTCCTTAAAAAGAACAGCAGGAATGGGGACCAGGGCAGTGGTTGCCAGGAGTCGGGAAAGAGGTGACTCCAAAGAGGTATCACGATGGAGTGATCTGGGGTTATGGGAAGCCTCTGAGTCCTTAGTGTAGAAGTATTATAGAGACCTCTACGTGTGTTAACAGTCAGGATTTGGACATCAAGAAAAGTGTGGAAGGGGCCGGGAATTTAGCTTGGTGGCATAAGTGCCTGCTTGGCAAGCATGTGGTCATGAGTTCGATCCCTGGTACAAGAAAAAAGAAAAGTGTAGGGAAGTTTTAAATTTACTACTTGTTAATTTAAAAATAACACAGACTCTCACATCCTGCAGAAGTTGCTCCATGGTGCTAACAACAGAACTAAAGTGCTAAAATAGATAATGCAGCATACAAGCAATTAAAATGAAAAGTCAATACAGTGGCTCCCTGTCAGTATGTAGATAAACAGAAGATGAAGTTTGCCACAAAAGCTAGTCACCGGCTATTTACATATCTGATTACAAAAGCTTGCTAGAGTGATTCTCACATAGTTTTTGAAGGTCGTTATATATAAGAATATAGTAATATATAAGAAATTGCACCCACTGGTCATTTGTGCTTTTATTTATTTGGTACCAGGAAGCAAACTCAGGACCTTTCGCTTGCCAGGCAGGCACTTGTGCCACTGAGTTGTATCACTGGCCCTTGTCTGTTTTTATTTTTTAATTAATTAATTAATTAATTTTTTTTGGTACTGGGGATCAAACTCACGACCTTGCCTTGTCAGGCAAATCCTAATGTCACTGAGCTAAATCCCCAGCTCTTGTTATCTTTAATGTTTCAATAATGGTTTTCAACTAAGATTTAATCATCTTCTTGAAATTGAACTTTGGTCCTCTACACAGTGCATGGCCTTGTGAAGGAGGTTTGGTGCTCATGTGGGGCCAGGTATGTGGGGAGGCTTTCAGGGAGGGGCAGAGATCATGCCTAGCTTTGCCTCAGGTGCACCTTTCGGTTTGGAGAAGTACAGTGGCTCAGATGCGCCCCCAGGAGATTTGGGGCTTGAGAGGCCTGGGCCTGGGCCAGGGCCTGACCTGTGTGTAGAGTTCAGTGATCTGCAGAGCAGCCTGGTTGCAGATCTCAGGGTTATAGTGGGAACAGTTATACAGACAGGCACAGGTTCTCAGGGCTGGTGAGTATACAAGGTGGTGACTTTACCCAGAGAGTTCCAGAGAACACAGAATTGCTAGACAAGAAGAAGCAGGTGTCTATGGAGGGAAACAGCAGAGTGTACCCAGAGCCTCAAGGTGATGTCTTAGCCCAGAAGGGTGTGGCAAAGGGAGCTGGAGAGCTAGACAGTCCCAAGGCACGGTCCTAGGCACTTCTCTGAGAAGCACGGGCTGGGAGCCAGTTACCAAGCAGACATCCCAGGCTGCGCCTTATCAGATGTTCTTGGGGTAGAACCTGCAGCCTGCAGTTGTCAGCAGTGCCTGAGAGATCCCTTCACATTGCGCAGCTGGCCTCTGCAGGGAGCAGTGGGCCCGTGTGGAATTTCTGCCAGGACTTGCTTCAGTTGTGTGTGTTTGACTCATGTCATAACACAGCTCCCTCCTGAAAACCCTGCACTTAGGAATGCTGCCCTCTTTTGGGTTTCCTGGGGTATCATAAAAACAGCAAGCCTTTCTGCAGGTGTCTGTTCACATAAATGAATGGCATTGTTTCCAGAAAAAAGCGGAAACCTTCTCTGTGAGGCTGTGGGCCTGCTAGGTTTTGCTGGAGGAGAAATCGAGGTGAGGTTTGTCCTGGGAAAGAAGGTGGGGTTCACAGTTTCCTGGTGTCCTTTCCCAGGAGCAGCAGCCAAGCTGGACGGACGACCTGCCACTCTGCCACCTCTCTGGGGTTGGCTCAGCCTCCAACCGTAGCTACTCTGCTGATGGCAAGGACACCGAGAGCCACCCTCCAGAGGACAGCTGGCTCAAATTCAGGTGTGCATGCCAGCACTGCTGTCCTGGGAAGAGGAAGTCAGTTTGCAAGCAAGGAAGGGTATTAAGCTTGCCACTGTTGTATAGGGCTGGCCAGGGAAATGTGGCCCATGATAGGTGGTGGCCTGTGGTGTGGCCACATCTAATTCAGTTCAGGGCTGGCTGCAGCTTAGGGGAGGGCATCCTAGAAGGTCACAGCCATAGGGAAACTGGCCAAAGTGAGAGGATCCAGGTGGGCACCTTAGCCTCCGTTGCTGTATTTCATTTCCCTCAGCCCCTTCCCTTGTCTCCCCCATTTCTGAAAGCCCTGGCCTCAGGCCTTCTTCTGTCACCTCTGCTAGGAGTGAGAACAATTGTTTCCTCTATGGGGTCTTCAATGGCTATGATGGCAACAGAGTGACCAACTTTGTGACCCAGCGGCTGTCCGCGGAGCTCCTGCTGGGCCAGCTCAATGCCGAGCACACAGAGGCTGATGTGCGGCGAGTGCTGCTGCAGGTAAGGTGCTTAGACTGGCTCTTCTCGACTCCCAAAACTCACAACTGTGAAAGTGACCAAGGTTGGTGTGTTGGGTATTTTCTTCTTGTTGGTTACTTTTCTCTCATACCCAGTGCCCAAAATTAAGGAAAGAAAGGTTTATTTAGCTCACAGTTTGTGGAGGTTTTAGTTCATAATTTGTTGGGTCCAAGGCAGGGTTGCTTATGGTACCCTGCAATACTTAATGGCAGCAGAAAACAGCAAAAGCAACAAGAACAGAAAGGGAGGAATGCACAAGGAAGGAGGACTTTTTCTGTCCCTTATATTGTATGTAAGCTACCAAACCTAGGCTGGGTGTAGCTCTCGTACCCATAGTCTCAGCACTGGACCATGCATCAGTCACAAACCCTAGAAGCCTGCCTCCATGACTGAATGAGGCTTTGGGGGGGACATCTAGACACAAACCATAACAGTTGGTCTGAAAACTGCAGGCTTGTTCACCCACAAGCAGGAGTCCAGAGCTCCCCACCTCCAGGAGTCCAGAATCAGGCAGACCTGACACTGAAAGAGGTGCTGGATGTTTCAGCATCCAGTGGCAGTGGTGTTTGTGCCATCCCGTGCCCAGCCTTTTGTCATACCAGGCTTTCGACGTGGTGGAGAGGAGCTTCCTGGAGTCCATAGATGATGCCTTGGCTGAGAAGGCGAGCCTTCAGTCCCAGCTGCCCGAGGTATTCACTCTGCCTGCCCCCCGGGAAGAGCTAGGGGTACATGGTGAAGCGTTTGTCCTCGATGGACCTCAATGGTCCCTGTGGGCTGCTTTACCCCGAGGCTTGGCTTTGGCCAGGCAGGACAGGTGAGAGAAGAGACCTGACCAGGACCTGTGCCCTGAGTCTCACGGCCTCATCACCTACCTGCTCCGTCCCCCACCAGGCTGCCATCCTGCCCTCACAGTCCTCTCAGCCTTACTCCTCAGGGAGGGGATGGGTTGGTACCGTGGTCCCCAAGGCAGCCCTGCCCTGACTTCTCTGATGGTGGGTTGCAGGGTGTCCCTCAGCACCAGCTGCCCCCACAGTATCAGAAGATCCTAGAGAGACTCAAGGTGCTGGAGAGGGAGATCTCAGGAGGGGCCATGGCTGTGGTGGCAGTCCTTCTCAACAGCAAGCTCTACGTTGCCAATGTCGGTGAGCTGCCCAACATGGCCTGGAAGGAAGGGAGGTCAGCCTGGTGTCAGTGTGCTTGCTGGCAGTCTGCTTTCGAGAAACATCACATTTTATTTTATTTTCTTGTTTGTTTGTTTGTTTTTGGCTATGTAGTACAAGCTGGCTTTGAACTTACTGTGTAGCCCAGGCTAGCCTCACACTCATGCTGGTCCTCCTGCCTCAGCCTCTTTAAGTGCTGGGATAACAGGAGTGTGCCCCAGGCTGGCTACCTTAGACTCAGAGCATCCTGAGGCCATTTGCCATTTTTCCTCCTTGCTCGGTGGCTTGTATCACTCCAGCTGGAGGAACAGATGGGACAGAGGCAGATATCAGTTTTTAGTCCCACTCTGGCCCTAATTACTGTGGCCTTGGGCAAGTCACAGCTGATCTCCAAGTGGCCTCAGTGACTACTGCTTTTGGAAGAGGTACCTAGCATGGAAGATCCACTCTATCCCCAGGAGCGATGGCAAGCCAGGGACAGGGACATTTGGATTTGCAGGCAAAAGAAGAGGCATGTGGACCCAGAGAGGACTGAATAGGGTGTGGGTTTTCTGTCGTGACCCCACTGATGGAGTCCCTCCCTGTCTTCCTCCTGGCCTTAAGCTTTCATTAGGGGACAGATGAGTGGTGTTTAGTGAAACACCACATCCCATCCAGTGCTAATCATTACCCACTGTGGCCAGTCCTGTTTTATATATGGCTCTTTGGCCCCAGATTATTTTAAAACAAACCTCAGACTTTGTGGTAAGATATCTGTAAAAATTTCTATACATGTCTCTAGAGGAAAATTCACTGAACTCATAGTCCTGTGATTGCACTGTGAATGTGTAGCCTGATTCATTAGTGTCTTCAACTGTCTCCAGCCTTAGCCCAGTGGGCTCAGCCGGCTTTGTGGCTTCATGCAGTGCACGTGTGAGATACCTCCCTCCCTCCTGGTCTCTTCAGCGGGTCCCCTTCCCCTCTCCCCTGGGTCTTTGCTCAGCTGCCGAAATTTTGCCACAGGTACAAACCGAGCACTTCTGTGCAAGTCTACAGTAGACGGGCTGCAGGTGACCCAGCTGAACATGGACCACACGACTGAAAATGAGGATGAGCTCTTCCGCCTGTCGCAGCTGGGTGAGCAGAGGGAGCCCTGCCAAGGGGTCAGTGGGAGTGGGGATCTTGCCCCCCTGAGCTTACCCTGTGCCCACCTTTGGTGGCCAGGACAGAAGGCATGTAGTGGAGGGGCCGTGAGCTTGTCTGGGACCAGCCATTTACTAGTAGTGACATTGGATCTTACTCTGTGCCTCAGTTTCTATGTCTGTAATGAGGATAATGGTAACTCCTACTCAGGGTGCTGTGAGGGTTAAAAGAGTTACTAACTGTCCAGCGTTTCCTGGAGCACCTAGTAGATACTCACGTTACTGATGGGGACTAAGAGAGGCCAGAGATTGCAGCTTACCATGGCTGCTCCCAGCCTTCAGGATGTGGAGGCTGGTGTGGGGCAGGCACACAGGCAGGGGCAGAGGCAGTGAGCATGCTGCTGTACGCTGGGCTGGCAGGCTGTGCAGAGGGGTACTGGAGTGCGGGTGTGAGGGGCCCAAGGAGGTTCCTAATGAGGATAGAAACTGTGGACCCTGGGAGATGCGGGGTCACCCGCTTGCCGGCACCCTGCTCTTGGCTCTGTATTCGTCAAGGGATGAGCTCTTGTACTCTTTTCCCCTTGGCAGGTTTGGATGCAGGAAAAATCAAGCAGGTGGGGGTGATCTGTGGGCAGGAGAGCACGCGGCGCATCGGAGACTACAAGGTCAAGTACGGCTACACCGACATTGACCTGCTCAGGTAGGTGGCCAGCGCTACTGCTGCAGGGGTCCTGGAGCAAGAGCAGATTTCAGACACTGGGGATGCAGTGCAGGTGAAGTAGTTCAGTGACCTTCGTTAGACGGTCCTCTCTAGAGGTGGGTGAGATGGGGCTGGGGCCAGCAGGCAAGAGTGGGGACCTTGGAGCTAGCCGACACATGAGGTGCCCAGTATGCACAGGGCACTTGACCATTGCCATTCTGACTACAGCCTCTGCCACCCCCCCAAGCTTCATTTTTGCAGCTGCCCTCGAAAGAAAGGGCTGTGTGATTTTATTTCCTTTCTTTTCTCCTTGCCACGTCATGTGTTTTACTCTCCATTCTGGGTGTAGATCCTTACCCTCAGGAGACTTAGTGTCCACCTGGGGGCCTTTCCTTGCCAAGCCCTCCTTCCACTCTTTCCAGTGCCGCCAAGTCCAAACCAATTATCGCAGAGCCAGAAATCCACGGTGCACAGCCCCTGGATGGGGTGACCGGGTTCCTGGTGCTGATGTCCGAGGGGCTGTACAAGGCCCTGGAGGCTGCCCATGGGCCAGGGCAGGCCAACCAGGTGAGCCAGGCTGGGCAGGGCGGGCAGCTGTGGAGCAGGCTGGGCTCCTGGTCACCTGGAACTCTGTTTCTCACATACTGTCACCAGACATCTTCTCTGGGTTCTCAGCTGGGGCAGTGAAAAACCAGAGCTCAAATCACCCGTCCCAAAAGCAGTGCAGTGTTGTGGCACCAAGGCCTGGGGAAGGCGTGGGGGGAAGAGGGCACCGTGGAAGAGAGCACAGTGCTGCTCTGTGTCTGAGCAGGGGACGGCCGAGGCAGCAGCGGGAAGGACAGCGGCTGCTTCACGGGGCCTGCTTCCCACCAGGGCACTCGCATCCCTGCTCCGACCCTCCCCCTGTAGCAAAGATGGGGACATCTCCCCTGAGGTATGGCATTAAGGGTGCCACATCCAGGTGCTCATCTAGAGCAGCCTGCTTCTCCCACATAGCAGATGTCACCAATGTGACTCTGAGGCAGTCACTTAGGATTGGGAAGAAAGCTGCTTCCACGTGCCCTTGAGCTGCTGGGTGGCTAAGATATGTCTCACACACGCTCAGGTCGTCGCCACCTGTACCCTATTATTCACTGTAGCAGCCTGGCAGTGTGGAGGGGCAGGCTGCCCATGGAGCAGGGTGTGGGCCCCCAGGGTTCAGCCTTGCAGCTTGGAGGACAGTGCTTACTTCCACATGGAGTAAGGATGTGGGCACCAGAGTTCAGAGCCTTTACTGAGGTGACATAGCTGGTTAGTGATGGGGCTGAACCCGCAGGGCCAGGAACAGGTCCTTTCCCCCACCTGCCCTGCCTCTGTGTCTCAGGAGCCTGTGGTCTGCCCTCCCATGGGGAACCCTGGCTGTGCTGTTGATGTTTTAATCAGTGTGATAGTCCTTGTGTCCTCTTTGGTCTTTCACAATAGAATTATCCGAGAATTTAGCTTAGTGGTGTAAGCGCCTGTCTGGCAAGTGCAAGATCGAGAGTTCAATCCCAGGTACAAAAAAAAAACAAAAAAAGAAAGAAACTCTGGTAAGAATTATCCAGTGGCTTCTAGTAGGTTCTAAAATATACCAGCCAGGTGACCTTTTAAAGGGCGAGATTGCTGCTGCTTTCATTCTGTATATTCCTGGCATATGGGAGCCTACAGTAAGTTTCAGCCTACAGTAAGTTACAGTTGTTTCAGGAAAAAGTGCTTCCTAACAACCGTTTATACCTGGTTCTTAGTCTGCCCATACGTTACACAATTCTTGTACTAATCTGATTATCTGGGTACTGTCTGTTCAGAGGCGTGCAGGCCACTAATTAGGTAGGGCACAAGATCACACACCTTTTCTACTGAAAAAGTTTCAGAAGGATTATCCTAAATACCTTGAAAAGTTCAGATTTCAAGCTTGACTAGCAGGAACTTCCTTCATCTGCCAGCCAGTGAGCTGTAAGTCCCCAGCAGGCCTCTGGAGTTCAGGCCCAGTCCCTGAGCACCCCTCATTCCTCACCAGGTTCTCACTCCCTCCCCCAGGAGATCGCTGCAATGATTGACACAGAGTTTGCCAAGCAGACCTCCATGGACTTGGTGGCCCAGGCTGTGGTGGACCGGGTGAAGCGCATCCACAGCGACACGTTTGCCAGTGGCGGGGAGCGTGCCAAGTTCTGCCTGCGGCATGAGGACATGACCCTGCTGGTGCGGAACTTCGGCTACCCACTGGGTGAAATGAGCCAGCCCTCGCCAAGCCCAGCCCCAGGTACGAATGCCCTGCAGCGTGCCAGAGAATGGGTGTGGGGCCCCTGCTCCCCTGCCTGGAGGAGGCCTGGCTTCCTGGAGGAGGCCTGGCTTCGAGTTGCTTTCACCCTGGCTCGACTTCCGGCCTCCCTGTGCTGCATGTTTCATTCCTTTTGCTGAAATACAAGGAAAGTTCCACTTGCCCTGGACCACTCCCTGATCCACAAACAAACTGGGGTTCCCTGGCTGGTTGCCTGCTGCCTGGCATGGCCTGAGATGAGTCTGTGAGTCCTAATTAAGCAACCCTAAAGACTGGAAGGGAAAACTTTCAGCGTAAAGGGGTCTGGTGAGGTTTGCAGCATGGACAGGTGGCCAGGCCCCAGGACCTGCCCATTATAGCCAAGGAAGATGTGTTTTACTTTCTTTTTCTTTTCTTTTCTTTCCCTCCACCCCTCACACATCCCCTCCCTACCCCATTGAGGATTGAACCAAGAGCCTTTATACTGTGCTACATTCACAGTACTTTTTTATTTTGGTACAGGAGCTCCCTAAGTCATTAAACTGCCCAGACTGGGCTTGAACTTGGAGTCCTCCTGCCTCGGCCTTCCAGAGTGTACAGGGATGCACCGCCCCACCGGGCGTTCTTTTTCCTTGTTAAATCAAGCTGCCGGGAGCAGTGCTGACCAGTGGGCATTCTTCTCAGTGCTCCCTCCCCACGTGGCTTAATGCTAAACCCTCAGTTCAGAGAGCAGCAGTTCCTCCTCTTTAAACAAGCGGACCTCAGGGCTGAGCGTCAGGGGGAGTGTTCTCCCGGACACCAAGGTTTCTCTGCTCATTGTTGTTGCTGGCGTGTTTTTATTGGGTCCGCCTCAGCGAGGGGAAGGCTGACCTCTGGACGAAGGTGGCTGTGGAAGCCAAGCCGAAACCCTTTTATCGCAGCGGTGCCAGCCCTTGATGCTGTTGTTGCCTTGATCACCATTGGGCTTCCCTGCTGCAGAGTGGTCCCTCGGTCTGGGACAGTCTGCCTGGGGACAGTGCTGGGCTGCTCCCCGGCCAGGGCCACACATCTTGGGGAGCCTCTCAGGCACCCTGTCAGGCCCTGGAGCAGCTCCGCCCCCATGACCTCTTTACCTCTCTCCCCACCCCATGCCTGCTGCCCGCTTGCCCCCACAGCTGCTGGGGGCCGAGTGTACCCCGTGTCCGTGCCTTATTCAAGCGCCCAGAGCACCAGCAAGACCAGTGTGACCCTCTCCCTCGTCATGCCCTCCCAGGGCCAGATGGTCAATGGCGCCCATAGTGCCTCCACCCTGGACGAAGCCACCCCCACCCTCACCAAGTAAGTCCTTCTGTGCTAGGGACAGCCCTGGGGGTCTCAGGCCTCTCCCACTTCCCAACACACCCCCGACTGAGGGAAGGAGTTGGTCCCAGCAGCTCCTGCCTGGGATGGGGTGGGAGTTTCAGGGCATAGTGTTTTGGGGTCAGGGCATCCTAGTTTTCATCCAGTGGGAAGGTCTTCTCGTTCCTTCTCTTTATTCCCTGTGTCACCTTCAGTGTGACGAAGGGTGGCATACGTGCTTGGGAACATCGCCCAGCCTGCACCAGCTCATCAGATGCCCTGCTCTCCAGCTGCAGTGTCCATTGCCAGCTCCAGAATGGTCTTTCTAATTGAGGGCAGGCAGAGAATTGGTCACATATGAGTGGGTGGGTGAGACGGCCCCTCTGGTGCAGACCTGCGTGACAGGTTGGTGACCACCCACCCGCATACTCCTGTGGAATGCACAGGCTCCCTCACCACCCCCAAAGCCCAGGATCTGGTTTCCACATTCCAGCCCTGTGCAGAATAATAGAGATGCCACACCCAGCCCATCTGAGGGCAGAGTGAGCAGGATGTGGCCAATTAGAAGGGCTAGGAGGGAGGGAGCAGCCAGGGGCCTTCCTTCCCCGCTGGCCCCTGCAAGGCTGCTACAGCCAGCACAGTAAGCAGAGGGGGCCAAGGTACCGTGAACACAGGCCTTGCACACAGGCAGGGTAGCCTTTCCTCACCCTGCTGGCTGCCCCAGGGGGCTACCAGCTGTGTCCACAAAGCAGAATGTGACCTGCATAGTCCAGGGTGAGGCAGGATGGCCAGCATCCTTGCCTGAGTCAGTCTGCATCTGAGCCCCCTCCCCCGCCTCAGGCTGTTTTTTTGTGCTGGCGCTGGGATTAGGCAGGGCAGGGGCTGAGGGGCTGTGACACAAGGAGGTGTCCAGGGTCTCTGAGAACACAGAACCTGTGTCCCCGCGCTGGCCAGTGAGATGGGATGAGGGAGAAGGGCAAAGGGAGGTTTACTGGAGGAAGTGCCCTTGCCTGCCTGTGACCAGCAGCTGGTGTAGGGGCCCTGCAGGTGCCCTGTAGCTGCGTGCTGCCCCCCAGGGCTTTCTGCCAGGGTGGGTGTCCTGGGTGCCTTGTTCTGTGCTGTGGTCACACCATGGGTGGCTGTGCAGCACTAGAACCAAGCGTTCTGCTTAATGCTGGGCACTTTAAACTGCCACATGTAGCTGGCGCTCAAGCACTCGACGTTTTCTTCACTCCTGAAGACATCTGGCCTGGCTGGCATTAAGTCACCTTACTAGAGAGGCCTGCAATTCAAGGGCCTGGTGGAGCTAGGGCTGCTGTGTCCCCAGGCTAGAAGCTGAGGCCTCTTGACCCACTGCCCTGACCCCTGCCCTCTGCCCACAGCCAGAGCCCCACGCTGACCCTGCAGTCCACCAACACGCACACCCAGAGCAGCAGCTCCAGCTCCGACGGGGGCCTCTTCCGTGCCCGGCCGGCCCACTCACTCCCGCCTGGTGAGGACGGCCGTGTGGAGCCCTACGTGGACTTCGCGGAGTTCTACCGCCTATGGAGCGTGGACCACGGCGAGCAGGGCGCAATGACGGCGCCATAGCCGCAGGGAGGGAGTGCAGCCCGTGCAGGGCCTTGTGCGGACTAGGCTCGCTGCTGTGGAGCCAATGGGCCCACTTCACACCTAGCCACGCCATGGGGTGGGAGGCTACCCGTGGTGGCCTCAGGCAGGACTCCCGTCATTCCTCAAAACAAGGACCCATGCATGGAAGCCAGGTCAGCCTGCTGTCCACCAAGAGTTCCTTCAGTCATGTGCAGCAGAGTGGAAGAGGCCATCCTGGGACCCAAGGGGCACAGGCCTCACGGACACTGCTCTCCCAAGGCCACTCCTGCCTACCACCCCCTCCCCTGAAATGCCTGTGGCTGCTGCTAGCGCCCTCACCTCCGGTGGGCAGTTTCCCTTCCCACCTGTCCGCCCAGAAATCTGGCTTCACAGTGGAACCCAGGTGAGACCTGTCCCTGTTTCAGTCACGATGTCATGGAGGCCAGAGAGTGGGATGCCCACAGGGGAACAGGTCAGGTGAAAAGGACAAGGCAGAACTGGCCTGAGAAGCACGTGTGACCAGTCTGCCACAGGGCTGCTGCTGCTGGGCTCAGCCAGGGAGTAGGAGGCGCAGGCCCAGGAGCCAGGGCTCACCCTGCGTCCCCTGCTGGTGCTGGGAAGGCTGTGGTGGGAGTGGCACAGTGCACGACCTTTGTACCTGTGGGCCGGTCCGGGCAGCTCTGACAAGTGGGGTGCTCAGCTGCACAAGGGAAGGAGCTCCTGGGGTGCAGCTGCCCTGGAAGGCCGAGGGCTTTCAGGACATGCATCATGTTTGCAAGCTCAGAGGCGAGGGTTGGGCCACCTGGGCCTGGAGTAGACCATTTCTCATGTCCTCAACCTTCAGTGACGAGTGGTCATGAGGAGGACCACTGATGCTTTGCTGCTCCCATTCTCAGAGGAGGAAGCAGGCCCGGGACACTTGGTCCTTGCCCAAGTCTCGCCATGTTAGCAAGATGCTCAAGCCAGAGCTCAAACCTGTGGCCCCCTCTTCGGTAGTGGGGCCCCCTGGATTCTGCCACGCCCGCCCCAGCCACCTCGCACCAGGGACTGTCTGCGGTGCCAAAAGGCCTCCGCTTACCCCTCAGTCTCAGAATCTACTGCCCTGCTGTGGGCCGAGCCTGGTGTGTGAAGTCACAGTGTGAGCAAGGAGAAAACAGATCCTGCCAGCAGGGCCGGCTGCCCGCCACTGTGAAGCCACCGTGCCCTTCCGTGAAGGCTGGGGATGGGATTCTCTCCCAGGAATGCCTCTGATGCTGCCTGGTCTCTAAAATAGAACCGTGTTTTTAATACAGTAGTCATACATGGTGGTGTTACGCACTGTAACGTCAATAGTACCGTGCATCCTGCCTGGCCCACACAGTCACAGAGGGCACCAGGTCCTCTGCCCGTAGGCAATAGCAGCAGTGTCATGCCAGCCCCCTGCTTCCTGAGCAAGTGGGTGGTACTGTGACCACCCGGGGCTCAGGTCCCCTGGGTAGAGGCCTTGCCCTCTTCATAGCTGGCCTGCTTTATTTGGCTGGGTGCGAGGGAAGGGTGTGCTATAAATAGTAGGCCTTGGCACTGCCCTTCCTGATGCTTACCCTGCCGAGACCTCTGCATCACAGCGGAGCACCATGTCGGCTGGGAACAGAGCCAGGCACTGTCTGGTGTGATCAGAGGGTCCCTGACAACTGCCTTTGAGGATCCGTCCCCTCCTCAGTTCCCCAACCATGCTTTTAACTGTCCTGGTGCCTACCACAGCCCCTAAACACTCCTGGAGCTATGGTGACACCCAGCCATCCCACAAGGGGACACACCATTCTGTGATTGGTCAAAGGTGCAGACAGGTTCAGGCATGGTCCTGGTCACAGGTGGCCACCACTCAACCCTCAGCTTTTCCCAGTGCTGCTCTGCCCTAGCTGTCAGGGCACCTGGCCTGTTGGCTTCATGTCCCCAGTCCTTGGCCTCGGTATCACTTAACACTGTGTATCTGTCCTGGGAGCAGATGGAAGGTCACCATTTTAGTTTCTGAGTTCCTTTTGGTGGAGGAGAGACAGGGACCATGAGTCAAGACATGGGAAGTGACCCAAGACAGGCAGACTGCCATGGCCAGTCACTCCCCCCAAAGCCCTGGTGACACACTGGGCAGACAGCTGACATTGGCCACCTTTGCTCTCCATCCTTCGGCCTCCGCCTAAGTGGCTGATGTCCTCTGTTCCCTGGGACTGGGTCAGACAACCAGAGAAGCCCACCTAGCCCCTGTCATCTGGTCCCCTGAAGATACCCCATGCCCTCCCAGAACCCAGTCCCAGCTTGGGTGAGCGCCTGGCTCCGGTCAGACTGGATGGTGCCAGGCCTCAGAGTCGCAGTGTGTGCTGGGAACGCCAGTGGCAGTCGGGACTCCACGGCGCCCTTGGACCATCACAGGCTTCATTTACTTGGTCTCTAGGACCAGTCGGCTCTGACTCCCTGGCATGCTTGTCTAACAGGCTGTGGAGCAGGCCCTCGTTGATGGGACACAGCTTGCCATGGCGGCAGTGGTGGCGGATCCTTCTGTAGGGCCCTGGTAACCTGACGTCAAAGCACTGACTATGCTCTTGAGTGCTGGTTTTTTATTGCTCAGGTCTCAGCACAGATGTCACTCCTGGGGGCCTGCTGACCTGCAGGGTCTTTGTCCCTTATTCCACAGTGTCCAGCCCCAGAGTCAGTGCTGGGCTTGCAAGGGTCCCTCACATGGTAAATGAATGCAGCAAGGAACTCTCGTGTGGACTTGGGCATCTACAAAAGGATGCGACCCACTTCTTAACGACTGAGCAGTCCTGTCATCAGAGGTGTGAGAGGTCACATCTCCCCTGTCCTGCCATTGGAGCTTGGGATGGGGACAAGTTTCAGGAGCTGGGGTCGAGATCCACTACTGTCCATGCAAGCACACACACAGGAGTCATTCGACAGAGGTGCAGCCCGACCTCCAGCATGCAGCAGTGCCACTTGTGGCTTTATCTAGAACCCAGGCGACGCAGTGGGTGTGGTTCTTGCCTCTTCTCAGCCGAAGTCCAGATGGAGACCTCTGGCCAGGCTCCCAAACACTTCCTCCATCAAGCACATCTCTCATGCCTCGTCCGTCTGTACCCCCTATTTTGAAACCAAGAACACAGATCACTGCTAATCTAGTGGGCTCATCCCACACAAAGGTGATGCCAGCTCAGAGGAGATAGGCACTTGACATTTCCACGAGCCCGGGTAGCCTGGTGGAAGACAGCCTGCCTGGCAGTCAGCACAGAACCATATTGCCATCGGTTCAAGGGCTGCAGCCCTGCCTGCAGAGACTCCCCAGGGATCCCAGGCCGCAGATCATTGGTACAGTCCAGCCCCTTTACACTGTTGCCCCTTCACAGAAGGGCCTCAGGGCATACTGTGATGAAACCCCTAAACTGTCACTTTAGCGGTCACCGTCTGGTCCAGATGGTGGTGAGCTTAAGAGCCTTCTGTGGCTCTACCTCCTCCCAGCACGTGCTGTGTGCAAAACATTCACCAGCTCCCTGGCTTGGCCCACTGTACCCACTCGCAGTACAGTGCCAGACCAGAGCAGCATTTTGAGAAATGTCAAGTGAATAGCGTGGACAAACGCAAGAATTATCCAGAGCAGAATCTACCCTACTCCAGCAACACAGTTTTGGGGTTAAGAAATGAAATGCTGGGGCTGGAGAGCACTTAACTCATTAGCTTAAGTGCTTACCTGGTAAGTGTGAGATCATGAATTCGATCCCCGGGGCCGATAAATAAATAAATGAAATGCTTCATCTGGTACTGGGTACTGGACTGAGCTGTAGCCCCAGACCTTTTTTTATTTTTTGGAGACGGTTCAGACTGGCCTCCAACTTTGAATACTCCTGCCTCAGCCTCCTGAGTGGCTGGGTTACAGGTGTGCACAACTGCACCAAGTTTCCTGTGTTCATTTTATTTTAAAAAGAAAAATTTCAAAACAGTAACTGGGGGTAACAATGGCATATATATTGTGTGTTCTCTTCAGACCAGTTTCCTGTGTTTTATTTTAGTACAAAAATAGCATTAACTTTTTCAAAAATATCTATTATCATTACTTGTTATCAAGTAAACTAATGTGCCACATTAATCTTAAAGGTCTGTAGATTCCACAGGCATGGGAACCCCAGAGGGCACAGGCTGAGGGAGTGAACCTAATCAGACTCATTGTTGATGCCAAATGTCCCCTGGGAGCCTGCAGGGCCTGACTGAGATCAAGCAGCCAGCTGGGGAAGTGACCTGGGGACAGGCCACCTCCTGTCAAGAAGGGCTGCCTCCTAACACAGGGACTAGGGAAGGGGCTGTCAGTGGCAGGTCACCTGAGCATGAGCAGCTGACATCAGCTGGGGGATCACAGTGCCAGCCTCACAGCCTTGTCCTTTAGCAACAGAGAGAGGGCAGCTGTTAAAAACACTGGATCCAACCTCCAGGGACAGGCAGGAGTCCACTCCAGCGAGCTCGAGTGTGGCTCTGCCTCCTGCTGCTCTGCCACACAGTCTTTCCTGACTTGTTGCCACCACAAGGTCTAACTCTGGGTGACCTTAGATGAGGTCCATACAAACTCCAAAAGGTTTACAGCTCTGCCTTATGTTAAAAACAAAGCCACCTGTAATGCAGCACTCAGGAAGCCGAGGCAAAAAGACCATCTCGAGCTGGGGGGCAGCCTGGGCTACATACCGAGATCCGGCCGCAAAAATAGTTTCCTCCTGACTCTCCAGCACCTTCCAGGCCCAAGAGGTGGGTTCAACTCAGTCCCAAAGTGCCAGTGGAACCTGTTAGGGCATCCCTGCTCTCCCCAGCACAAGAAGGAAGCTGTCACAAGTCCCTCTGCTGGCTCAAGCTGTCCTGGGGCTTTGTCACCTAACCTGACTCACCACTGGAATCGGGCCACTAGGGACCAGGCCATTCCCGACACAGCAGGACTCCTGTCCCAGAAGAGCTGTAGACTGGTGCCCCAGCCAAGACAAGGGAAGGGACTCCCAGAAATTGCCTGGAGGAAAAACAGGAGTTAGCCAAGTAAAGGCAGGAGGCGGAGTTGGTTTGGGTGAAGTGGCAGGTCCCAAAAACAAGGTGCAGGAGATGAAAACAACAAAGTTATGCGATGGGGGGCGCAGACTCTGGGACTGAAGCCTCGATCATAGTTTTCTCTGGTTATCTCTTAGAGTCTTTTCTTTACAGAAACCAGAAGTGGGAAATGAGAAAGGAAAAAGTACAGATAAATGAGAACTTAATTGTTTAACCCTCCCAGGGACCCTTGCTGGCTATACCTGGCCTTCAAGTTTACCATTCTTGTGGGCACAACGTAGCACAGCAGCTCGTGCTCTCCCAGCAGCCTTCCACTGGAACTAAGGTCCTGCCTTCATTTCCTTAAACACAGTGCATCTGTGAGACTTCCTCCAGCACAAACAAGTGCGCTTAGTAAAACACAGAGCCCCTAGGTTAACCTCAGGTTTACCTAGTTTACTCTGTGACTCACATTTGGTTGAAAGGATACACACAAGCCTGAAGACTATGTTAGCTAAACAGAAAGGGGCAGAGAGCAGTATGAGCTCACGGCCTCAATTGCTACCTAAAGCCCTACTCACTTTAAGTTTTTTGCATATTAGTAAAGACTCATCTATTATGGCAGCAGAGAAGTTTTGGGCCACTATTATAAAAAGGCCACAGGAGCCAATAGGGCACCCTGGGTTTTGGAAAGACATCCGTACAGGACAATGGGGAAAAGGTAGTGTCAAATGGGGTTTCGGGGTTGCTTGTGTCATTCAGGATCTGGAGAAAAGGTGTGGCTACCTACCAGAAGAATTAAATCTCAAACGAGTCACAAGAGGGTCACGTTCGATCTGGATCCTCCAGTGAAATGAGAAATGAGAGGGATGCTGCTCCAGATACAAACCAGGAACACTCGAAGAGCACAACGTCCAACCTGGGGACACTGAAGAGACTGACCCAAGATGCTGAGTAAGCGTTAGATTCCACTGGACAGGCGGTCTCAGCCCGTAATGTGGCTCCAGCCCCTGCGGGAGGTGCAAACCTTTCAGAAAATTTAGCACTGGGTCATCGGGCTTATGTTCTAAAGCCTCCACTAAATAAAATTATAGATCAGGCTGATCCATACACCAATATATGTTAATGAATCTAGATGGCTTCCCGAACCCTGTGACATACAGGGACCATTAATGCTAGGAGAGGAAAAAAACAAATAAAAACCCATGGAGACAAAGGGACAATCTATTTGTAAGGGCCAAGGAGATCATTGTTTAAAGGTCAGACCCC